TTCGAGGAGCCTGCTTCTCCCTCTCCCTCTGCAGTTCCCCCTGCTTGTGCTCTCTCTCTCTCACTCTCGCTCTCTCAAATAAATAAATAAAATCTTTAAAAAAAAAAAAAGATAGAGAACCTGCAAGTGGGGGTCTGGGGAGAGGGGTAGAGGAAAAGGGAAAGAGAATCTTAAACAGGCTCCACACCCAGCGTAGGGCTCATTCTCATGACTCGGAGATCATGACCTGAGCCGGAATCAAGAATCAGTTGCTTAACCGCCTGAGCCACCCAGGAGCCCTGATATGGATTTCTTTTTATGTTGTAGTTGAGGTCAGCAGCAAATGGATGGGGAAGGGGCAGAAGGAAGGCTGAAAGTTGTTTTATCCTGAGACTGTCTGGATAGGCCAGGCCAAGTTAGGGGATATGCCTTGAGGGCCCCGGGGCGGCAAGAAGATACAGGGCCCTGGGGAATTGCAGAGGTGAAAAAGAACATGTGAAGACATTAAAGATGAAGTTCACATTTCTTAAATTTATGCTGAGATTTTGTTCTGTGTATGGGGCTGGCAGTGGGTGTGTGGGAGAGACTAGGAAGTCCGGGACAAGAGGAGGAGACTTGCATTTCAGTAGAGAATTAATAAATCATCCATCCATGGCAGACTGTGATAATGTTACGAAGAGAATGAACAGATTGAGTGACTGAGTGTGAGGGATGGGGCTCAGGCACTTTTTGTAATGTGGTTAGGGAAGCCTCTTGGAGTGATATTTGAACTAAAATTTGAAGGATTAAAAAGGATCCAAATGAATTGTTAGGGATTGGCTTTTGTGCTCAAGAGAATAGCATGTGCAAAGGCCCTGTGGAATAAGGAAGTATTATTTTTCTGAAGAATTATAAAGGCAGGCCAGTGTGGCTGGAGCAGTGAAAGCAAGGGGAAGACTCTTGCAAGATATAGCTAGCAGGTTAAGGTAGGGGCTAGATGACACAACTTTGTAGGCAAGCTTAAGGATTTTTCTCTTTCCTAAGAGCCATAGGAAGTTCTTGGGGATTGTGACTTGATTATATTTGGGTTTCAGAGAGTTTGCTCTGCAGTATGGAGAATAAGCCAGAGAAGGCTGGAATGGAAGTAGGGAGATGGGTAGGAGGCTCTTGGACTGCTTAGGTGATAACTTGGACTAGGGGTTAGCAGTGGACATGGAGAGAAGTGGAGAGATTTGATGTATTTGGGCGGCACTATCCAAAAACTCGATGATGGACCGGCTGCGGAGGACGAGGGACAAGGAAATGCCAAGGATAACTCTTGGGTGTCTGAACCAGGTAACTGGAAAGATAGTGGCTGCACACTTTGTTTACCTTTAATGTCTTTCTTAAAAGTGTGTTCTTTCTCATTTGTTTTTATTGTCCATTGTTCAGTATTCCAAGAGCCTCCTACGCCCATAATTCAGCAGGTCTGGCTGAATGATGCCGAGCTTCGACTGGGGTACTAAGGAAGAGGGGTTGAGGCAAGGATCGGTCATACTTCATACATCATACATCAGCTTCCATCAGCTTCTTTAAAAAACAGCTTTATTAAGATATAAGTTATATAACATATAATTCACCCATTTAAAGTGTACAATTGAATGGCTTTTAGTATATTTGCGGGTATGTACAACCATCAACACACTCAATTTTAGAACATTTCCATCATCCCCAAAAGCAATCCTGTTCCCCTGACCCTGCCCTCAGCCCTGGGCAACCATGAATTTAATTTCTATCTCATAGATTTCCTGTTCTGGACATTTCCTAGGAATGGAATCCTATGGTCATACATGGATGGTCCTTTGTGTCTGGCTTCCTTCCCTTAGCATAATGTCTTCAAGATTCAACCATATGGTAGTATATATTAGTCCTTCATTTCTTTTTATAGCCTCATCACATTCCATTGTCTGGATATACCATATTTTGTTTAGCCATTAATCAGCTGATGGGTATTTGGGTTGTTTCCACCTTCTGGCTATTTTAAGTAACGCTGCTATGAACATCCGTGTCCAAGTCTCTCAGCATTTTTATCATCTGCCTAAACTCCCTGATCACATCCAGGGTAGAATAAATAGCAGGGTTTTGGATGGCGTGAGGTAGCCCCACGTTTGCCTGGGGCAAGATTTCAGCTTTATGCATGTGAATGACAGCCTCTTGTTTGTTTTACTACAAAGACTCTCTTTGTTTTACTCCCACTACCTCTGTGCCCACGCACCATGTTCTCTCCGCTGATAAGAACAAGGAGGAGGGCAAGGCAAAATTCAAGAACCTCTATGGTTTAGCCATTTCTAATAATAAGCCTAAACTCTCCTCTGTCCACTACTCTTCTCTCATTCCCATCGATGCCCTCCATGTCCTCTGAATGCTCCCATCCCCCCGGATGCTTATGGGTATTTTGGATACTGTCGTTGTGATCCCCCACCCTCTTGGCTTCCTCCTCCCCTGGGGGAGACCTGGCCACCTGCCAGGCCCAGCAGAGCACCTTAATTCCTTCAGCACAGGTTCGAGGGCGTGCGCTGTGTGTTCAGCTCTGGGCAGTACTCAGGCATTGGGAAGGGGTTGCAGCTTTGGACTTCAGATTTCACCCAAAGTGCAGCTGAGCCTCAGTGAATCTCTACATTCTTACTACATCTTCTGTCCACTGGGCTGGGGCCATGAACCATGGGACCTCCCAGGGTGCTAAGAGATGTGGCCTCTTGCTGGGCCTCCAGAAGTTAGCCCCCTACAGCTTGGTGTTCATAGCACTCTAGCTCCTGGCTCTGGTCTCTGCCAGCCTTTTACAGTTCTGAAACTCCCACGCAGACCGGGGCGCTGGGGCCGGTTTGTACTAGCTCCTGAGAGCTGACTGCAGCCTTTCCTCCCGGCTCTGCCAGCACTCGTGCCCTGTGACGGCCTGAGATCGGCCCCGATGAGGACCTACACTGCAGACACGGCGCATGCTGTGGCCCAGGGCTTTTGTCTTCCTCTCGCAGAGCCCGTTGTTAAATATTTACCAACACGTAACTGCACTCAGGTCCTTGCTGCTTTGGTGTGGGGAAAAGGGCTGTCTCCCTGGTTTTGGCGGGCACATTGGAATCTTAGGTTAATAATAAAAAAAAAAAAAATCGGAGTAAGATCATTCTTGAGACAAGAATGACCCAAAACAAACCTAAAAAATCCTCCCCACAGACGATCCCCTCCTTTTCTCCCTTCCTTTCTTTTTTCCTCCCTCCTCTCCTGACTTGGATGCTTTATTACTAACCAGCAGGCTCTGTTTGCCAAACCAGCTGATGATTAAATGCAGGACCGACTCTTTTCCTCCCTCCTTCCCTCTCTCCTTCCTTCCTTCCCACCAAGTGCTAGGCCCTGGGCGGGGCTCTAGGGTACAAAGTGGCAGCAGGTTTAACCACAGATCACATCACTTCTTATGGTCCTCTTCTCACGCACCTGTGAAATTTCCACCTTCTGCATGACCGGGCTGGTGGTAACTGGGTCTCCGAGCTGCTCTTCAGATGCCCACTCCTGGTACCGTTTCCTGAGCCACACCAGCACCTTGACTCAGGCCACCCCATGCATCCCTGTAATACTGTCTCTGGTGAATTCACTAGCTGATTTTCTTTGCTTTTCTCTCACTGAATTGCCTTCCTGAGGGCGGGGACTGTGCTTTCTTCATCCCTGTTGCCTCAACACTGTGGCTGGCGTACTGTGGGGAATGCATCTTGCTGAACTGAACAGAATACTCAAGGCCCTTAAGAAAGGGAGAGGAGAAATTGCATTTACAGAGCATCTACAGTGTGCGAGACACTGTGGTAGGCGCTTTGTTTTAAGCTTAACTCTTAGCAAACAGCACGGATCCGACCCCGGTGGGCTGTCAGGGAGCATCAGGTACGACGGAAGCACAGAGAAGGCGCACATAAACCAGACGTGTTCAGAGAAAGCTGCCCTCGGGAGGCAATGCCCATCTGAGTTGGAAAGTATGAGTGAGCTAACCCACAGAGGACGGGAGAGAGAGCAGAGCAGATGGAACAAGGAGTGTTGAAGCTCAGGGCGATGGCTCAGGGAGTCTGGAGAGCTGCAACTAGCTGAAAGAAGCCGGAACGGAGTGTGGAGAGGGTGTGCCCCGGGCGTGAAACCTGTGCCAGCAGGTCTGGAGACTAGGATGGGCCAGAGTGGAGCCTCAAACTTCGTTCTTAATGGGAAACTCACAGAACACAGCGAGTGTGCAGTCGCTTGCTGGCATATTTTAGAATCCTGAGACCCACAGTGGTTTTTCCTCTCTGTTCTGAGTCTCTTGAGATCAGAGTGCCTCTTCCGGTTGTTGGAACATTTCCTGCACCTGGACTCAAGGTGAAGTCTCCCACGGAGGGCTTGCTTTTGCTGTTGGCCGGTCATGGAGGGTGCCACCAACCCCAAACCTCTCACTTCTCTGCCTCAGGATGGGGGTGGGGGGGCTGCCTTGGCGGTGGAAATTCAGCCTGCAAAAGCTGCATGAGCAGTTTGTAGTTCAAATTCTCCCAGAAGATTTTCTTCCTCCCCCTTTGGCAATGTCTCCCCCTCCTTTCCCGCAAAGTGTGTTCATTTCTCATTTGTACTTGCACCGGTGATAGAGCTGTTTGGTCTCCCAGCTTTATGGAGGGGCTTCCTACTGACCTCCATATCAGGGACATTTTTCTTCTTACTGGCACCTGTCTGTTTTATCATCAAGAACATCTTAGATTCAGTGGAACACAGCATTTGGCTCATCAGTGGATGCTCTCCTTAACACCCATGGATTTCCAAAAGGAAAGTGAGTGCTAGGGTGATGTTAACTGTGTCCTACCCTATCCTTTACCTGTGGTGATACAGGGCTCAGTCTGGATAAAGGGTTCAACATAGAAGTAAGGGTTTTCATGGGAAGTCTGGGGATGTGGAAATCTGGGGATGCAGAAATCTGGGAAGCTGTCACTAGAGGTCAAGGTTATTGATGCTGGTGATCTCAGGCAGGAGTACTTAAGCAGGTGGGTTCTCAGAAGCTTGCCTGGAAGCTGCTATAATTCTCAGGAATCTTAGAGGAGCTTCAACAGCCTCCGTCCGCTGCGGCAAAGCAGATGGTTCTTGAGAACTCTCTGGAAGCCCCTGGGACTCTCCTCTCTGCCTACAGCCACTTCTGGAGAATAATGGCTCCGCTTCACTTCTGCATTCCAAATGTCTGTGAGTTCCTCTCGTTGGCATTCTTCATTGGCTACCTGGACCATGTAGAGAAGGGAATTTGTGAAATTAGAAATTGGAGGCATGACAATGCTGTTGACAACAGAGCCTCCAGCACATGGGGTAACCTATGCCTTTTTCTGAGAGCAATCTGTTACTGTAATCTTAAAAAAGAAAAAAAAAAAGACTATTGGTGAAGGTGAACATGTACCCTTCAAAGGTCCCCCCAGACTAGAACATCTTCTCTATTTCTGTTTTTGGGTTTTCCACCACCACGGTTAATGAGGACTCATGGGATTTCATGTTACTGAATCACTACATTTATCTGCTATGGGCCATAAAAGCAAAATTCTGAGATTCTCCAACACGTAAAGCATCTCACCTCTGGGCTTATTTCCAGGCTGGCACGTGAAGTAGTATGTGAGGCGGTAGGAGGAAAAGGTAGGTGAGGGTCACTGAGTATTGAGACCTCAAAAGGCCCCGAGTGATCAATAGATAAATGGTAGCAGTATCTCTGGCATCTCCTTCCAACCAACATTCACGGAGCACCCTCTCTGTAGACAGGTCCATGTTAGCCTCCACTTAAAGGGTGGAGGAAAGAAATATGCCATATGACCTTGACCTTCTAAGGGTTTAGAGTTGAGCTGAACAGATATAAGATGCCAGTCCTGCCTCTGTCTCTTTCTTCTTTCTCGAGGAGCACCCTCCTGGTGATCTGGGCCCGGCCTCAGAACTGTGTGATATGCTGCATATGCATATGCCACGTGCAGAAGTCCTGGAATGCCTGAGCGGGGCTGGCACATCAGGGCTGGGGAGATGGCCAGGAGGGTCTCCACAGCTGGAGTTTGGGCAAAGCCATTAAGTCCTGCACTAGACAGAAAAGTCTGTGAAAGTCAGAAGGGTGATGCAAGCATCATCAAATCTTCATCAGATGTCACCCACAACAAAGGAGGGAGGGAGCGCATGACTGACCAGAAACCTTTCTTAACAAGACAGTTGCTATGACCCACTGCAAAAGTAGGGGCTCCCTGCCATGGTTGCTCATCAATATATTTTGCATTGTCCTAAGACTGCAGAAGTAATCTGTGCCATGAGCCCTACTTATTATTTCTGTTTGGTATTTATTTTAGTTTTAGCTTGACTGGGCTTCTTTTGAAAATTACATTTAATTTGGATATTCATGAGCAGGGAAACCAAAGAAAGACACTGTATTACTTTTCTATCTACCTATCTGTTTTCCTAAGCACTTGTAGAAATAAATAACCAGAGGCTCCATAACAGGAGTCTGCAAGCTATGTCCTGTGAGCTAAATCTGGCCTGCCACCTGCTTTGGTAAATAAAGTTTTATTGGAACAAACCATGCTTATTCATTTGCATACTATTTTCACACTGAGTTGAGTAGTGATGAAAGAGACTTGCATGGCCTGCAAAGCTTAAACTATCTACTATCTGGCCTTTTATCAAAAATAAATTGTTTTTTGTCAATCCTTGCTCCTTTAGGAATATCATTTCTTAGTATAATAACTCAACAGCAGTTAAAACAATCTTCTCTTTTAAAGGTTACTTTCTTAATCCCTTATTCTTTTTTGGTGAAATTCATCTTTTTGCTCAGACTTGGGTTCTAAACACAAGTTTTCATAGGATATTGACAACAGGTGAACAGAATTAAAAAACAAAATACAGAATGCATGGCATCGCTTCCCCCAAAATGTGCTAACCTTTGAGAGTTAAGAGTGTTGCTTTTTTAGCAGGAACCCACAAAGAGGGCAATCAGAGTCATTCTAAACCACTATCACATGTAAATCTCAAACGCATAACCTAGTCAAAGGGGAGAGAATTCATTTCACGGTAAGGAACATAGCTCTAAGTCGTAATTAAGCTAATTGATCATTTCAACTGTTTAGTCTACTCTGCTTGATAAAAACAATAATGGGAGAGATTACCCGGCAGATGCGTAAGTTAATCATAAATGTCTTTGGGCTTCCCATTTTCTAAGGGCATAGTGTGTCTTTCTGGTTGGGTCTATCAGGGTAGGTCATTCAAGTCTGCTATCGGATCGTGCGTCTCTCTTCCAAGAACACGAGAGTATAAAATGTTCTTCTGCTTCAAAGAAGGCCTAGTGCTGTCTCATAGACTCTGGCATTAAAGGGGATTGTTTGTGAACGTGGCAGGTGGACATTTTCCCCAGGTGTTCTAGCCCTTGCTATATCTCTGACCTCATTGCCCACCCCTCTGACCCTGGCTCACTCCAGTCACACTGTTCTCCATGGAGTTCCTTGAGCATGCCCAGTGTGCTCATGCCTTTGCATTTGAAATTCTCATGCTCATTACTCTGTTCTTAAATATCTGCTTGGCTCCCTAAAGCCTCAAGTATCTGCTCAAATGTCCCCTTAATAGAGAAGCTTTTCCTGATCATCCATTATAATAAATCACTCTGCCTTCTATCACTCTCTATTCTCCTTAATTGCTTTTTTCATAGCATTTATTGCCATCTAGCATATTCTGTGTTTGTTTTGTACTGTCTATTTCCTCCCTTAAGAGCAGACACTTTGATTTATTCACTGATGGATTACTAACTGCTATGACTATACTTGGCACATACTAGCTACTCAATAAAGGTTTTTGAGTGAATGAATGTTTGTGTGTAGTGAAGCTTGCTTTTTATTCAGAAGGGGAGAACAATAGGAAACATCTGGTCTTATGCTTACAGAGATATGTCATATCTCCATTGCATCAACAGCAGTACAATAGAGCTATTGAGAACACATTCAGTTCATAGATAGACCTGAGTTCAAGTCTTCACTCTGCCATTTTAATAACTATATCTGTGGTTTAACTTCTTCAACTCTCAATTTTTTCATCCGTAAGATGGCTATAATAGTATTACTTATTTTATAGATTTCTTAGGCTTAAATGGGACCATAAATGTAAAGCCCTTACCTTGATATATAAACACTACCTTCATTATTTCACACATATTTCAGTAAGACACATGTTTCAGTTCAAGGTGACCATCACCAGATTCCTGAATCTGGATCAATATAGTATAACTAAGTACTGATGTAGAAACTTTCCTATGATTTAAAAAGAAATGATTAAGGTGATTACCTGGTAAATTGCTAGTGATATTATAAGGCAGGGGAAAACTGGGAATCGGTTCAGTTGAGGGGTCATGTGTTCGATATTTTTGCTCTACAGAGAATTTTTAAAACACATTTAGTCAAATTAATCAGTCTTTTCCCTTATAACTTTTAATTTTTGATTCATACTTGGAAAGGCTTTTCCCATTCCAAGAATGTAAGTACATTAATATATTATTTTCTCATAAAATTTTTATGATTATTTTTCATGCTTAAATCTTACATCTCTCTAGAATTTATTTTGATATTTTAAGGGTTTTTTTCCAAAATAGCTATCAATGTATCTTTAATTAAATAATCCAGTACCGTAGTACAGATAACTTGGGGTATAGCAATGCCTTTCAATATCTAGTAGTTACTTTTTTCTTTTTTTTACTTTTTAAATTTTAGTTGGGAACAAGTCTTTTGGTGGTTTAATTACTATCATGTTGATTTTATAGAAAAAATGTTATCATTACAATATCAAATACTTCTACCTACAAACAAGATAACTATTTCTTTATATTTGGCTACTTGTATGCCCTTAAGTGATTTTTTTTTAAGTTTTAAAAATTGAATTTTAGTTAGCATTTTGTGGTTGCAAACTAGAGAATCTAACTGTGGCTAACTTAATCATGTATTAGAAAGGCATTGGGGAATTCACATAGTTGAAGGGAAGACCAGAGAATCAGGCTGGGAAATGAGGTAAGAACCAGCATAAAAATTTCATGACTGCTAAAGGTATCACTGCTGGAATGAATGAGCTTTTTCTGGGGCGCCCGGGGGGCTCAGTGGGTTAAGCAGTTGCCTTCAGCTCGGGTCATGAGCCCGGGGTCCTGGGGTGGAGCCCCGCTTGTTATCCTCCTTCCCTCTTGTTCTCTCTCTCTCTCTCTCTCAAATAAACAAATAAAATATTTTTTTAAAAAAGTTTGTCTTCACATCATGCTCTTCAGCAAAGTCCTAAGAGAAAGGCTGATTGGCTGAGCTTGGGATACATGCCTTCCCCTAGGAGACACTGAGGCAATGAGCATAAGGGTCAGGCCGAGCAAATCTAGGCCCCCTTCAAGAGGGCAGAGTGCCTGGATTACCCATGTCACCGAGACTGAATACAATTTTAAAGAGAAAACTTTCACAGAAGAAACAGGATGTGTAGAAAATGGAAATTGCCCACGATCAGAAGAGAATAAGCCTTTATTGAGGTGCTCCTTCAAGCTGATGAAATATAATTTTGTTCAAAATCATTTAATTCTAATTGTCTTCCTTTGAAGGCATTTGCATCCCAGGGAGGTTGTGGTTATTAAGGATATTCAGCGATATGCCCATTTTCACCCAAATATCAAATGGTTGCTGTGGGATTAGAATCCAGCTATGCTTCATTCAAAGCCTAACCCATCAGTCTTCCTTGCGGGGGCAGGTAACCACCAAAGGCTCTACAATGAAAATAAGAACCCAGTGAACAAACAGTGAGCAGGAAGGAAGTTTGGCTGCAGGTCGTGAGATACACCCTGCTAAGAAACTATAGTTCAGGGCTGGTATCCGGTGCTAGACTTTGTGGGTACCAAATATTAATTCATTAATATATTTATTTGCTGAACGAATGCATACCGATTCTTGCTATGTGACCCCATGATATTAGAAGGATGGGTCTAGACATTTGATCATTTTTCAGTTTGTTCAACAAGTGTTATCGAACAACTACTATATACCACATACTGCTCTTGGTTGGGTATGGAAAATGTCTGGGAAGCTCTGTTATAATCTTAGGAATGTACCTTATCATGCTCTTTGGATGGTGCTATAAACTGAATTGTGTCCTCTCAAAATTCATATGTTGAAGCTCTAGGCCCTAATGTGCTGGTATTTGGAAACAAGGCTTTGGGGAGATATTCAGATTTAGATGAGGTCATGAAGGTGGGGCCTTCAGGATGGGATTAGAGCCCTTAAAATAAGATACACCAGAGGGGTACCTGGGTGGCAGTCAGTTAAATCCAACTCTTGGTTTCAGCTCTGGTCTGATCTCAGGGTCCTGAGATGGAGTCCCCACGTCGGGCTCCCCACTGAGCACATAGCCTGCTTGGGTATCTCTTTTCCTCTGCCCCTCCCCACTGTGCTCTCTCTCTCTCTCTCTCTCTCACTCTAATAAATAAATAAATCTTAAAAAGGGGGAAGAAGAGGAAGAAGAAGAAGGAGGAGGAGGGGAAGAAGAAGATACACCGGAGAACTTGCTCACTCTCTTGCTCTGCCATTTGAGAACATACGGAGAAGGGAGCTGCCTGCAAATTAGGGAGGAAGTTCTCAACAGAAACTGACCATGCTGGTACTTTGACCTTGAATTTCCAGTCATTGTAACTGAGAGAAAATATATTTCTGCCATGTTAAGCCATGCAGTCCGTGGTATTTTGTTTTAGCATCCTGAGCGGACTAATACAGATGGGGGTCTAGTTTTTTGCTTGAAGAAGGCACATCTCTGAAGCCAGACATTTTGCTCATTGAAGATTAGTCTGAATATTTAAAACTTCCATGGTGGAAAGCTCAGACAAGGTGCATTAAGAAACTGCTTTTATCCTGAATTATCAGGGAGTTGTCTGACAGATCCAAGAAGATTCTCTTGACAACTAATTTCTCCAGCTTTGAATTTATTGAAGAAGAAAATAAACAGACTGATAATAAACACAAGGAACTTCAGTAGCAAATTGAGACTAGAACAGATTAGGACTAGCAGGAAACTTGGTTCTTAAGTGGTAGATATGAACAAAGTTGTATCAAAAGTTGCTGAGACATCGAAAATATTGAGGCTGTTTTATTAAAGAAAGGCTGTATAATGTAACAGCAGGAGAAGTGAGAATGGAAAGAGATTTCTGAAAAGGAATTGTAATAAGTGACTAGAGGGAAGCATGAGTTTTGTTCATAGGGTGGTTGGAAGTGCAGAATACTGAAAGCCCTGATGTTATCTACAAAGCAGCAGCTGATTACAGGATGCACGACAAGAGGAATAAACTGTTGGAGGGACGTTTGGTCCATTGTCAGAAACTCACTGTCCTGTAGGCTGTCCCTCCTTCCCCGAGAGGCATGCCTTCCCGGGACTTAAACTTCTTTGACTCTGCACACAGGAACAACCCAAGTCATACTTGTTTTGCAGTTGGTTTCATACCTTTGCAGGCGGTCCAAGGGCAACCGAGTTATCACTCTAACATTTAGATGGACCTGATCACACAGTGGTGTATCTGGAATGTGCAAAACGGGCACAGGAGTTAATGCCTTATCTCTGACCATTGCTGTTCTTGCTTCTTTCTCTCCTTCCTAAGCTGTTTATTGGACCCTAAGCCCCAGCTTTGATAATTTACCCTTGTTCTCCACCCCACATGCCCATGACATTGATTGATCTATTTGGGATATACTTCCCTGCTTTCCCTTTAGCACTTCGGGGCTTCATTTTGGTATTTGCTCCCTGGTCTCAGGCAGCCTGGCTGGAGGAGAAACCAGATTTCTACGGTTGATGAGGAACTGCCGTATCGAAAATATGAATTGATTGTATTGTGTGATATTTAAGATTTTAGTAAAGTGTCATCTCCTAACACATAATGTTTATACTCATTGACTTCTCAATGCAAATCATTTTTTACAATAGACGCATAGAGGAGATTTCTAGGGAAGTGCTCCCAAGCAGGATAGCACAGATTAGATGCAATTTATCATTTTATTAAACTAGAGCACCAATTGTCTTTAATATCCAGTAGGAAAACAGATGCAGCAGTAAAGAAGTTTTAATTGAGATACAAATACAAGTCTGTCAAAACAGAAATCCCTACACTGGAAGCACATTTTTCTTCTGCAATTTTGTCTACAGTTGGCTGGGAGGGATCTGGAGATTTCTAACCTGCCCTTAAAGAAGACTGTGGATGGCAAAGATAAAAGTCCCTGAGTCATGTGGGAGGCATGCTGATGATGGTGATGGCGTGGCCTTGACGGAAGGTGCCCCACGAGCTTCCCCCACCTGAGTGCCTGTGTTGTGGTTAATGTCAGGAAATCAGACAGCATTCTTGGGAATGATGAACAGGATCCCAGATAAGTGAGAATGACTTGGGATAGGCATTGCCTAGAGGCTGTCATTCTTTGGCCAGGCGTCACGAAGGACGATTAGATCCTCCTGCGGTGTAATTAACACCTTCCAGGGGAGGGTGACCAGATTTATAAAAGGATTGCAATAATGAAACAACATTTACATAGCAATTTATACTTTACAAAGAGAATTCAAGAGCATTTCTTTATTTGATCTTTGTAAAAACTCTGCAAAGAAGACAGGGCAGGGAGCATCTCTTTTTATAGATGAAAAATAGAGAGAGGGTGACTTACCTCTAATCACATGGCTACACTGTGAAAGAGTCGGGTCTCCAGAATGCACTCCTGCCACCGTATCTCACTCCACTGGTGAAGGAGAGTAGCTACCCAGCTCTCCAGCTTCACGGCAAAGGAGAAATCCACAGCAAGGTGTGTGTGTTTATTATGCTACCTACAGGGATCATTGCAGTTAAAGATGCCTTTTTTTTTTTCTTTTAATGGGAGATGGCAAGGAGAGAAAGAGCAAGAGGGTAGGAGTGAGAGTGGAGGCGTGGGGCTTAAGGAGAGACAGAGAGAATGAAAACGAGAACCGGAGGCTAAAACTGAAAACCAAAATGAATCAAAGCGTTTTCTGAGGAAACGAAACTAAAAGGGTGGGAAGCCACAGGCAGGTATGAGGTGACTCGTGACCCCAGCCCTAATTGAACACAAGCAAACACTGCCATTAAAAGGAAACATCTGAAGAAACACGCAGAGAGAACTCATTTATCTGAAGCCTGTGATTTGGAAGGGGCATACTGTCTAACAGGACGATGTCCAAAAAACAGGCTGAAGATGGGCTCAAGGTGGGAGTAGGCTTCTCCAGGATGGACAGCCAGCTGGAGGCAAGTATGAACGACAGAGCCGCTGGACAGCCAGCTCCTGGAGGCAGGGGTCACACCTCTGCTTCTCATCACAGAAAACTCTATCTAGCCTCTCTCCCAGGTGTTTAGAGCAACACGGGAATCGTTAAAGGGAGTGAGGAGGGCACGTGAAACCCTGGTCCCTCAGCCACTTCATTACAGACCTCTTGTTGGAGGGCTGGTTCTGGGTCATGGAAGCTAGAGAAGTCACCTTCAGAAAAGTCTTCTCTGACCTCTGAGGGCAGGAGAAGAAAGGGGCCAGTGTGAGCCCTGAGTGCCAATGGACCTGTGAAGAAGATAGCCTGTTTCTTGCTCCTTCTGGTTGCACCTGCTCAACCAGCGCGTGGAACATGAACAACACCTTGCAACCGGGGGGTGGGGGGGTAGGACAAACACCTGGTGTGCTCTTCACACGTGTCAACCACGGCTCTCTGTCTGCTAAGACTGGACACAGGAGCCAAACCACTATCGGCAACGAAGCCTCTAAATGGGCATGACGAATGACATCTCTTCACCAACCTTCTCCTAGATAGGGTCACTCTTCGGGCCTCCAATTCTTTTGTGGTAGACAAAAGTACAGGTTGCTGGGGTAGCAGAGGGAGCAGGTAACATGATGGGAAGCTGGGACGAGCTCAGGTCGTCTCCCCTTGGGCCCCGTGTGATGAAAGCCCGTTGGCGGATGTAGAGGCGAAGCCTGGGAAAGCGAAGAAGAAAGATCACTTGGGTGTGGAAGACCCGAAATGGTGCAGAGAAGTACATGCTCCTGGAAACACACCTGGAGATGATGAACAAAAATAAATGGACCAGAACCAAGGACTCTGAGGTTAACATAGCATCACAATGAACAAACCCATAACGTTAGTGAAAGAAAACCGAAGAAGAGATCACAGGCTGCTGGGATTTTTCAAAGAAACATCTTTAGCCCACACTATTTTTACAGGACTGGTGTATCGCTAAAGCCACAAAATAAGTTAACAATGATTTACCGGCTTTAGAACATAATTTGTAGCTGTTCTGCGTCTCAAATTGAATCTAAATTTATCAGGGAATTGAACTTAGCTATGGGAGAGGGCAAACTTCATTTCAGCATTGGGCTAGAGCTGAAAGTCAAAACAACCATTTATTTCTTAGCTTAATCAAATAATTGGTTGATTCAGGGAAGAAAACAATTGTTGGAGTGAGTTGGTCAAAAAGACTGTGGCAGAATCTCAGCACGGGCTCGGCCACTGGGCCCGCGGCCGTGTCACAACGCTCTCTTCCCCCTACTGACGGGGCTTCTTCAATGGCACCAATGTTTGTGATTATCTGATGAGACCTTTAGAAATCCTGAATGGCTGGGTTGTCTCTCCTGCCAGTCTCTTTTCCTCATAACTAAAGCTTATTATGTGTGAAAGGAAAAAAAAAAACCACATTAAGTGGAAAGCGATGGAATTGAAAAGACAATGAACAGCTGAATTTAAATACATCTTTTCAGTTTAGTCCTTTATTTAAGGGTTTCGACTCCTAGCTTAAAGACATTATGCTTTCTTGATCCATCCAGGAAATCATATCAGTTTCAAGAAGGCTGACTCATTTGGGTCACTTATTTGCATGACCATTTAATGGAGAAGATAAAAGGCTGCATTAGGGCTCCACTACTTTGACCTTGGTGGGATCCAACTCCATTCTCTCCAGCCCTCCACACTCTTTTTTCCAAAGACCTACTGACTTCAGAGAGGGTTGTTATTCCAAATGCAATCTGGTTAGATATACAAAAGAAAAATGCCTAAAAATAAAAAAACCACCATCTAAGCTAATTGCTCGTTGAGTGCAAAGTCATAAAGCTGAGAATCTATGGCAAAATTAGAAATGCTTCCAACATAACAATGTTCGCCTTGGGTTAAGGTCAAATTACTTACACTTAGTCATTCATGAAGTTTCTCCCTCTTGTTTCACTATCTAAAGCTGCATAGCACATCAAATAATTATATAAATATTTCCGATCTATGTTTGATATAGTAGTATGGGGATTGGGATTAAAGGGCCCAGACTCTACCTCTGAGAATTATGTCTCTCACTATGTGCACCTGCAGCCCCTTTTATATTTTAGTATGTCCCCCATTATCTTAGTATTTCCCCATTGTACATATATAAATTAATATACACATAAATTACCACATAGATGTTACTGTTAGGCCTCTGTATTTGGATGACTTCTCTTTAGACCTGTGAGGATCAGGACCCTCTGGGGGCAGCTGACCAGCTCTAAGGTAAAAAGTAACTATCGTTCACAAGTTTACTGCACTGACCATGCAGTGTTTAAAGTTAATTGCAGTTCACATGCAAATCCCTTGAGAAGCCAAAGTCAGGAAATACAGTAGCCGTCAAAGGGACTTCAGAAAACCCTGTTTGTCTCATTATCATGTCTCTTTTTAATCTCCTTGTTTCTTTTTAGCTCCTTCTAACCATCCTTCAACATTTCCATTTATAATGAACAACCTTGAACATAACTCGTTTCTCTATAAATATGTGGAATGTTTTCTCTATTTTTCTCATGTTAGATTAGTCATAACTTCCTGAAATTCAGTGGGATAATCTGTCAATGAAAGGAGAGTACTGACAAAATAGAACCACTGGAAAATGGTGTGATGCTAGGCGGTGTCTGCGCCTCCCAAGGCAGGCCAGATAATTGGGTAATAGGTGCCAGCCAGAGTAATTGGGAATAAGTAGAGAAGATGGGTTCATTCTAGAACTGCGTTAGGAGAGGGATGAAAATAGCACCCACAGCAATTTCCTTTTTTTAACCTTCCCATATTGGTAAACAAAACCCAAAAAGCTTGATAACATCAAGATGTATGGAAATAGACACTCAAATTCCTGGCAAGCATGTAAATAAATATCCTCTATAGAGTGTATTTTGCCAATATCTGTTAGAGTTATCCTTACAGGTACAATTTGATCCAGAAGTCCCACATTTAGAAATTCACTGTAGCAATAGATCCGTGTGTGTGTGCAAAGATATATGGAGGAAGATACTCCTTGCGGCATTGCTTATAGTAACAACTAAAACAAATAGTAGTAGGAAAATAGTAAAATAAATAAAATAAGGCACATACAATGCAATGCTGTATATAACCATTAAAAAAAATAAGGCAGCTCTACATGTACTGGATATGAAACAATCTTGTACAGTAACCTATTACCACCATAATGCCATGCAACACACCATCCAGAATTTACTGACTTTAACACAATAAGCATGTATTTAGTTCATGAGTCTGTAAGTTGTTGACTTAGCCTGGACAGTTCTGGTTTGAGCTGGATGTTGGCCAATGTAATCAAGGAGAATGTCCTCACATTCCACACCAAATGTGCCCTCACGCCTGCTCTGGTGCCCATCTATTCTGTCTTCCCTTAGATCAGAGTGGGTGCACCGTCCTGGTTTCCTGTCTGACTGAGGCTCATCTCTCTGTGAGGTTTACCTACTGAGTGACTTTGGCCCTGCAATTGCCTCCTTTCTACGGAGTCACATTTTTCCACTATGCTGGATCATTTATTTTAAAACATGTTGCATTGCCTTGTACCTAAAAACAAAATACCTTCCACAAACCCACTGGCCTATTTCCTTCTATTTTCTAGCAAAAACCCAGAGCTAGGCGTACTCACCATCTCCATTTCTTCACCTTTCATTCTTTCTTGAACCCCCTGCAATCAGGCTGTTGTCCCCACTAGTCCACAGATACTGCTTTTGCCTGTGTCTCCAGGGATTTCCATGCTATCCCATTAAATGGCTCTTTCTTTGTCCTCCCCTGACTTAGCCCCTTGGCTGCATTTGGCACAGGTGATCACTCCCCACTTCTCAAAACACTCTTCTTTGGCCTTCGGGGGAACTACTCTCCTTGTTCTCCTTTAACCTCACTTGCCACTATTTCTCTCTCTCTCTTTCTCTGTCTTTGGCCGGATCCTCTTCATTTTCCTGACCCCTTAATGCTGCAGGGCTCCAGTGCTCAGTCCTCACATCTCTTCTTTCCTTCTCCATTCTGTTGCATTCTGTTCCATGCTTTTAAATATAGCTATATGTTGATGGCTTTCAAATGTATTCTTGTTATTTATCTTATGAGAGATATTCCCTTTCTCTCTATTTATTTTTGCCACTGTGGGAAGTAAGGCAATAAACATCCCTACACATATACCCTTGATTAATATGGATTTTACGTCTTAGATAATTGGGTAAAAAGGTAAATGTATTTTTAAATTTTTAAATTATTAAATTGATTTTTAAAAGACAGCAACTTGCCACATTTTTACCAGAAATCTATGAAAGCATACTTTTTTTTTTTTTGCCCCCAATACGCATTATCGTCTCATTTTTGTGTGTCTGATAGGTATATCAACTTTTAGTAATCAGGTGGCAACAGAATGTCTAGTGTAACTGACTGATTAGAGTTGGTGTGTGAAGGGCGATGGGAGGTCATTATGGAAATAAGCAGGCTCGTGCGTCGCCTACCACAAGAGAGGAAAAGAGGCAAGATAGTGTTTTCTGTAAAAGTCTTAGAACAGCTGACCAAACTTCCTAATATGAGGAAAATAATGGCTCAGGGACTTTGGGAAATAT